GCTCAAAACCAACGGATCGACAACCTAACCACCCAATTTGGGGAGATGCGAGAATTGTTGTTGCAAGCTCTTGGTGGCAACCATAGGCGAGGAGGCAGGGATGACGAAAGAAGAGAAGATTATCTTCTTGTTGTGAAATGAAAACGGTGGCTGTGGCAGATTATTCTGACCACAAAATAAAAACGGAATAGTTTTTACATGCAAGTTTGTGTACATATAATATATATATATGTGTGTGCTAGCTAGCTGCTAATATATATATATATATATATATATCTTTTTTCTTTTTCTTTCTTTTTTGTTTAATACATAAAAAGGCATCTATATAACTTGTGGAAAATAAAGTAATGCAAATTGGAAACATTGTCGATAAAAACGAGTGAGAGATTATAGAGGCGTTGTGTGCGTGCTGCAGTGTTGCAGAAGAGAGAAAGCTTAACAAGCACCACTGCAGATGATGTAGAACAGATGGCAGATTTTATCGCGGTTGAGCAAGAAAAGGGACGTGGTGGGAATTTGCAGAATTGTCGTCCGAGCTCCGATTAGGGGGCAAAATACCATTTCGGAAAGGGAACGATGCCACGAGTCAAACTCACAGCTTTGCTGTGATGTACGATGGATTTTGGCATTCTGGAGTCGTAATATAAAAAAGGCAACGTTTGGAGCTATGCATTGAAGCTAGTTAGACTTGGACCTTCTCTTTGCTACCATTGATTACTAATTTTTAACTCAAACATTCACAAGAAAAGTAATGGGAGATTTTGAAAAAAGCAAAAGGAGAGAGAAATTTTTTAAAAGAAGTCAAAATGGACAAAATTGCCCTTATTTATTTTTAGATTTCCTAAAGAATCATTTACATTTGCATGTCTTTAATTTGAAAGTTGAGAGGTTTTTCTATCTTTTTTGAAAAAACTTTGACTTTTTCTGAAAATGAAAATTTTTTTATGACTAAAACCTAAATTTACTAAAAGTAATTAAAGTAAGATAAAGCATAGCATTAACACGAAATCTTACCCTACCAATTTTATATATCAACTCACTTCTAATATGACTAATCTGATAACTGGCAGGGTTTTTGAATCTTAAAACCCGGTTTTACCCTTTTTGCATTGGATTCAAAGAAAAACTCATTAACCGCGAGCTGTCAATTTGAATTTCACTTTTTATTTCGAATTTACATATTTGTTCTCATGTTTTGTCTACTTCAAATTCATAATTGAGTTTTGCTTATTCGAAACTCATTTTTACGACGCTGAATATGGGAGCTGTTAAAATATAATAACTATGAGAGAATATTTGTTTGTGGTACTTTTCTATGTATTCCTCTCCTTGTAGGTGGTCATATTTATAATACAACGGAACCTTAGTGACAAACTAAAATAATAAATTCATATTTCTATTTACAGTAGAAAATCAGGAATTAAAGTAAATGAATTACAATTATAATGAGAATCCTTTGTGTGGAAGAAAAGAAAGTTAATGGTCCACAAGTCACGCCAACACTCCCCCTCATGTTGGTGCATAGATGTCGCCAATGCCCAACTGATCAAGTGAATTGTGGAACGTTCTATTGGAAATCACCTTTGTCAAAATATCCACTAATTGATCCTCGTACTTCACGAAAGGGAATTGAATCACTTTAGCCTCAAGCTTCTGTTTGATGAAGTGTCGATCCACCTCAACATGTTTAGTGCGATAATGTTGAACCGGATTTTGTGTGATAGCTATGGCAGCCTTGTTGTCACAAAAGAGATTCATTGTAAAAGTAGGTTCATAACCAAGTTCAGTAAGCAACTTCCTTAATCAAAGAAGCTCAGAAATTTCTTTACTCATGCATCTGAACTCGGCTTCTGCACTAGATAAAGCTACTACCTTCTGTTTCTTGCTCTTCCATGTCACCAAATTACCTCCCATGAATGTGAAGTAAACCGATGTAGATCTTCTATCTGTTACATTACCCAATCTGCATTTGAATAACAATCAATATTCAGATGACCATGTTTTGAGAACATAAGTCATTTTCCGGGTGTAGACTTCAAAAATCTAAGTATCCAAAGAACTGCATTCATTTCACTTAGAGAATGCATAAATTGACTGACGACGCTCACCGCATAAGCAATGTATGGTCGAATATGTGACAAGTGGATCAATTTTCCTACTAACCGTTGGTATGTTTCTTTGTTAGTTGGAACTTGATCCGGGTATTCTCTAATATGAAGATTATGAACAATATGAGTGTCTATAGGTTTGCAATCTAGCATTCTTGTATTTGTCAACAAGTCCAAGACATATTTCATTTGAGAGAGAAATATGTCTTGCTGTGATCGGGCCACCTCAATGCCCAAGAAATACTTAAGTCCACCTAGATTCTTCTTATCAAATTCAAGAGCCAAATAGTCTTGTAGTTGAGATATTTTTTGTTTATCATTCCCATTAATAATCATATCACCAACATAAATTATTAAAGTTGTTACCTTCCCTTTATGATGTTTCAAAAACAAAGTATGATATGAGTTACTCTGTTTGAAACCGTTGTTCTTCATCGCCATGATAAACTGCCCAAACCATGTGCGCGATGACTGTTTCAATCCATACAATGCCTTTTGTAATTTGCATACTGTTCCAGTATGAATAGTATTATATTCAGAAGGAATGTCCATATACACTTCCTCTATGAGTTCTCCATGCACGAAAGCATTGTTTACATCAAACTGGTGTAGTGGTCAATCCAAATTACTACGATTTCTTCATAGTCTATATTGTAGGTCTTTGTGTACCCTTTTGCCACAAGTCTTACCTTGTATCACTCAATAGATCCATCGGCATTGTGTTTTATAATAAACACCCATCTACATCCGACCATCCTTTTTCTTTATGGTAAAGTTTCCAGTGCTCAAGTCTTATTTTTCTCAAGAGCTTTCTCCTACTTTATAGCTCGAACCCACTTAGGATCTTTCACTGCTTTAGCAACCTTGATTGAGATATGGATAGCAGACAACTGGTGCACAAAAGCCTTGAATGGTTCAGATAGCTTCTCATTGGATACATGATTCGCAATTGGATACTTTAATGTCTTGTGAATAATGGTTTGGTGGCTTCCCATGATTATGCCTGAAATTTAATTGATATTCAATACATTTATCCTTTAAATTCACAAGTGTAGTATGAGTAATTACCTCAAAGATATATATGTCTCAATTGATGGTGCCACAACTAAATTTGCTTTTGTTTGCTATCAGAAGGATGCATCACATTGTTAGCCATGCCGGGACTAAAGTCATCCACATAATAGAGCCCCTATCTCTTAGTACCACGACTAAGAATTTCTTTAGTATGAATATCCTAAATAAAACAAAAACTCAAGTAAATTCGAACACAACAATTCAATTGTTCAGTAATCTAACTAACTGACATCAATTTATTGGATAGAGATGGAACAAGTAAAGCATTAGAGAGTGAGAGAAAAGATGAGAGAGCAATAGTGCCAGTTCCTGTCCATTGGCATTAGCAATACAAGTTCATCTGGACCATAAAATCTTCAGGATCAAACGTCATATGATCAGTTGCATCGAAATCAATTATCTAGCCCATGGAATCACTCTTATCTGAAGTATGGAATCCATAACCAGTACCATTATTGGTAGTATCGAGTCATGTTCAATCGTTGAGAGTAGCCCACCATTTGGGGTAGCAATGCAATTTAAAACAATTCTCACGGGTGTGTCTCGAATCACCACATGATGTGTAATCTTGTCCATGTGTCAGAGTCATTGG